TGAATTCTTACGTTTACAAAAAAAGTCACACAACCCATCCTATCCTACTACTATTATGAGAAACAAACAAAAATGAAAAAGATAGGAATAGCAATGAATAGTGATGTGGGTATAGAAAATGTAAGAGATATGAATGCAAAGCAATCAGTATTTAGGATATTGACCATAGATTTCGAAAAAAAATGCTGCATATTGAGCGAAAACTATGATTATATTATAAGGCTGTCATTTAAAGCATAATGAAACTATTCCCTTTTCATTTTAATCGAATAAGATAGTAAAGATTTTTGAATTAGCTAGAAACTGATGAGATGTTTTCACAAATCAGATTTTTAATCTCTATAATGCATAATTCACTCAATATCTCAATTTTGATATTGCGAGATATTTTTGCTATCGGTTTCGCAATTTTGACACAATAGCAAGAGGGTTCTATAAGCATTATTATCAACATAGAATCTGAATATCATATCAGAAAATGTCGCAAATCTGACATTTACCCGACCAAATAGCAAAAATAATTGAATACTTTTCGCAAAAACTTTAAAAATCGATAAAAATATGAAATATAGATATTAAAGAGACTTTTTATATAATATTCATAAAGATTTTCCAAAAATATGATACCGAAAAATTAAAAAAGTGACGTCTTGAGTGGAGTCAAAGGTCGAAATTGCTAGCTAAATGTTTTTTTAGCGAAATTGCGTATTGTACGTTTTTTTCGCAAAACGAAACCCTTATATGTATTATTATAAAAAAGAAAAAATAAAGCACGTTAAAATTTTTCTTTCTTGATTTTTTACAAAATCTACTTAGAATTATGCAAAATATGACTAAATAATTATAAATTTCAAGTTAAATTTTAATTTTGATAAATAATTTAAATTTCAAAATATCAAGTTCAGTTCAACTATGTATGTAGTAATTCCTCAATAAAGTGCCAAAACCCTATTAAAATATATGAACATTTTCAACATTTTAATGTTTTTATTTAAAAATTTGATGGAATATGAGCTTCAAACAATTATTATGTAAATAAAAATAATTAAATATATGTATTTATTCGTATTACAACCGTAGTAAGTCGATTCTTCCTTTCTTCTACTGAGTTTTGAATTTGATTTCGAATTGTAAAGAGATTCAAAGGGAAAATACTAGCGGATAAAAACTACCTCCATGAAAGGGTCATAATGGAGTCAAGTTGTATTTTTTGATATTTTTTGCTTTTCGAGCCTAAATAGGTAGCCAAGATAATGCCTAAAAATAAGGTTCTAAATTCTGAAGTTTACATGATCCTCTCGTGTGCACCCTTAAACACTCTCAAAATTCTAATTCAAAATCGGCTTAGACAAAATTCAAATTATAATGCAATTAAAATCCTAATTTCAAACTCGAAATTTCAAAATAATTATATTTCAAGCGCTGCAAATATATTTATCACATATAATGTGAACTACGTTGAATATAAAGTTAATGTATTAAATTGCGGATCTAGATTTAAAGGCCAACATTTTCAACTTTATAATAGAAACGAAGACGGTCAAATTAATAGTCAATTGCATGAGAGTGTTTACAGTAATCTTGGAATTCAAGCCGAGTATGCTAATGCAGGTGATTCTGAATACCAAACTGCATTCCATATTGAAAATGGAATAAGTAATCTGATGAATAGAATTAATATGACTCATGTTTTTGCCAAAGTTGCAGCAGGATTTTATATTCACCTTGCACGAGGCACTGATTCAGCTAAATTCTCTCTATTTTGCTTAATAAGTTCATATAAAGAAGCAGTTCTTGGCTTCAATTCAAATTCAGATCTTAATTACTGCAATATCTTTAATAACACAGCAGGAGATTGTCAATATGGAATTATTTCTTTTTACTGGCAACCTAATTATCAAATTTACATTGATAACTGTGTGATCTTTAATAATGGTTGTGAAATGAATACACTAGGAGAAACGAATGTTGGAAGAATTAACATATATGTTACAAATAGTTTCATTGATAACTGCAAAGTTGGTGGTAGTGCTTCTATATCTACTTCTAATGTAACTAATTCATATTATGAATACGACCTACCTTTATTTCAAGTAGAAATGTGTAATATTTATAGTTCGCGGCCTAAGTATAGAATGAAGAATGGAAATTTTTTAGTTGTAACATCCATGGAATTCGGATTTTTATGATCCAAAACAAATAAAGGATTTGATAATAATCTTTATTATCAATATAATTAATAAGAGATTGCAGTTAAGAGTTTCTCTCGTAGAATCTCGAAATTTGTGAATTGATGTATGATCAGTTTCATGAAACAAGTCGAAGCAGTTGGAAGAGGCCATGTCTTCTCATCATTTTCGTCGACGTTTTCGAAACAGTTATCGAGTATACACTTATGAAAGGTTTGTAATTCCATGCAGGAACATATGCATATCCTGAACTGAATCTCAAGAAATCTCTCAAATTTTCTTCACTGAATGTGTTGATCACTTTGAACAACAAATCTGTATCATAGTTCTTAGAGACTAATATCATCTTGATGTCTTCACTCGTTATCTCTGTTTTTCCTCTGCATAACTGTTCCTAGTACTTCGGTGTCAAAAATTCATTACAAGGAACAGGAGAAACATGTAAAATCCTCTTCAAATCAATTCTATATTTCTTCTAATCCTTCTAAAATAATTAAACAAAATTTCACTTCAGTTTTGGATAATTGTTTGGTATCCTAATGAATTAAAATGTTTTTGATGTAAGTTTATTATATTCATTTACCATAAAAGTAGAGGAAAGTTGTATTTAAACTTCTTCCATTAATCTCTATAATTTATAATCTTAATTAAATAGTTCTGAAAGTTATTCTACGTTACAGACAACAATCGAGTTTTTATCTTTTTGAAAAGAGATATTCGTATAATTAGGAGCTTTTATAACTTTCCTTTCTTGTAAATCTTCGAGGTGTTTATATATTCGATAATTTAATATAAGTTTTGGTGAAGGTAGTCACCAATAATAGAAATGTAAACTATTCAAAAATAAACGATAAGTATTTTTATTTGCATTTTTCTTGAATTTATGTCTTACATAGTATGTGTTATATTACAATTTTATTTGATCATTTTTTTCAATTTTTGAGTGAACTCATTGAAAAGCGTCAGAGTGCATAAAATCATCAACTTTGTGTTAAATGACGACATCCCTCTTTTTTATTTTCGGTTTTTGCTCAAAGACTGACAACTTATGGAATGAATTCTTTCCTGGAGATAATGAAGTACCAAAATCAATTCAAAATAAAAAGAATCCCAAAATCCCGACTTCAAAGGATAGGATTTTCATTAATCACAGCATTTTTATATCACTTAAGCGAACTCCCGTAAATATCGATGGTTCGAGAGAGAATAATCTTAAATTTTTAGATGTTTACTCAATCTTTCAAAACAATTATATTAGAGAAGGTTCTGTCGCAACTAATATAGATATAAGATCAAATGTTGACTTTTTTGAATATAGAACAACTGTATTAAATTGTGGAACAATATACAAAGGACAACATATCAATTTAATGAATGGCAATACAAACTGTTCAATTCTTGATAGCTTATATCATAAACTTGGATTTCCAACATTTGAAGGAATTTATGAATGCGGTTTTCATCTGAAAATCAATACATGTAAAATCAGTAATATTAATATGACCGACGCCAATGGTATAAAAGCTGCAGGATGTTATATAAAAGTTAACTCTGGTTCAATTTTAGTTAACTACTCTATATTTTGCTTATTACGTTCATATAAGGATGCAGTTATTGGTTTTGATTCAAGTACAAATCTTAGTTACTGCAACATATTTAATAACACAGCAGGAGATTGTAAATACGGGATTCTTTCGTTTTATTCAACTCAGTCGTTGCAAATATATATTGATAATTGCGCAATATTTAATAATGGTTGTTATGATTATACTCTGGAAGGAACAAGTGCAAAAAACATTAGCATATATGTCACTAATAGTTTCATTGATAATTGCAAGGTATCTGGTGGTGCTTCTCTTACAACATCAAATGTAACTAACATATCTTACCAGTATAATCTATCATTAGAAATACCTAGTATTTTTGAATTCTCTGATCTAGGGATGCGTTAAACACGCCATTTGACCGGGCGTACATTTTTTTTGTTCGCCCAAAAATTTCGCCATTTGAGAAATTCAAAAATTAAAAATAAAATTTTAATCTTGATTTTTTTATTTTCGTGATTTTTTTGAAACTTACATAAGCGATGAAATACTTTTTTAAGTAATCGTTTATTATATATAAATATATCTTAATAAATTTAATTCCTTAAGGTAGAGCGTGTTCAAATTTAAAATCTCATACAATATTTTCTTAATGGCGTATTTTTCTGAGGTCGCCCAAATAAAGGCGAATTCAAAATTGAGAACTCCAAGGCGTATGGCGAGTATTCAAAAAGTACGCCACTTACAAAATATTGAATGTGGATTATCAATTTTTTGGCGTGTTCAATTTCAAATTTTGATATTTATGTTTATTTTATTCAGTATAATGCTAAGAATTAAAATATAAAATTCATAGAATTTTTTCTTTGAAAATATTTTACATTTTTATTAGACCACTCCTAGACTAGTCATCAGGTTATCCTCAGATCATCCTCAGACTACTCCTTATCAGATTACTCATCATCCTCAGACTACTCCTTAGACCCCTCCTCATCAGACTACTCCTCAGATCTTCCTCATAAGACTCCTCCTCAGATCTTCCTCCTGAGACTACTCTTCAGACTACTCCTTAGAGTCCTCCTCATCAGACTAGTCCTGAGACTAGTCCTCAGACTACTCCCGAAACTACTCCTCAGATTATCCGCAGACTCCTCCTCAGATTATCCTCAGATTATCCTCAAACTACTCCTCAGTCTAATCCTCAGACTCCTCCTCAGATTATCCTCAAACTACTCCTCGGTCTAATCCTCAGACTCCTCCTCAGATTATGCTCAGACTACTCCTCAAACTCCTCAGTCTAATCCTCAGACTCCTCCTCAGATTATCCTCAAACTCCTCAGACTACTCCTCAAACTCCTCAGACTACTCCTCAAACTCCTCAGACTACTCCTCAAACTCCTCAGACTACTCCTCAAACTACTCCTCAGACTACTCCTCGGTCTAATCCTCAGACTACTCCTCAGATTATCCTCAAACTCCTCAGACTACTCCTCAAACTACTCCTCAGTCTAATCCTCAGACTCCTCCTCAGATTATCCTCAAACTCCTCCTCAGATTATCCTCAGACTCCTCCTCAGGTTATCCTCAGACTCCTCCTCAGATTATCCTCAGACTCCTCCTCAGATTATCCTCAGATTATCACTTTACATATATATATCGATAACTAAATAATTACTTATTATACTTTTTTTTTTTTTTAATTTTAAAATAATATTAATATATCTTTCTACGTTTAATGATGAAAAGAGAAAGAGGAGTAAAAAGAGGAAAGAGAAAAGAAAGAGAGAGAGAAAAAAAAGAGAAAGAAAGAAAGAAAAAAAGGAAGGCGATAATTTTGTATTGTTTTGTTATTCGGCCGAATGGCGGGTACTTTGTACCCGCCATTCGGCCCCAAAAATGGCGTATTATTCTATTTTTAAACGGTCATGGCGTAAAACCGTCGCATCCCTACTCTGATCCTATTCCTAACTATGTTTCAGTTAGACGATTAAGAAATAAAGACTAAATTCTTTAGCAGAATGATAATGCAATTTAATTTTATTTGTTGAAACTATTAAATTACTCATTGATTTAAATCCATATCTAAATGAAATTGGTTCAAATGGCCAGTCGGCAATTGTAATTGAATTTAAAATCAGTTCTTTTTCATGTTTGAAGCCTTTCTTCGAATTTGATCCCAGAATTAACAGTCATGATAGGGAAAATAACTGATTTGTTGAACCTGTGACTCGAGGTCACTTAAAATTGTTAACATAATGAAGACAAACTCTTGCAATGAAATCACATGTAATTGTGAAGCAGGTAGAGTCTCTGTATTAAAATGTTTGCTAACGAAGATAGTTCACTTCTAATTCAAAAATAAAGACATTTGTTAACAGAGAGACACTGTTCTATTTCATCATCCAAGATAACCATTGTATTACAATAAATCTAGCTCAATAAGGAGATGACTGAGTTTGAAAGAAGATGATGGCAATTCTTAGAATTTGTGTTATTTAGAAGAAGATATGTTTAATGATACAACATATGATATTTTATAAAGATAAAGAACAATGTTATCAACTTTTAATGTTTTATCTGATTCTATCTTTTAATAAAAATATGTAGCTGAGCATTTATCTGTTGTATTTTGAGATATAAATGAATCTAATGGATCATTTGAATCAAATATATCTGCATTATTTTTTATAGTTTGAACAGTGACATCATTATTATTAAAGTAACAATTATCAATATCTGGTTTGCTTGTAAATAAATAGGTTCCTTTATTTCCTATGAATGAACAATTTGAATATTTACATGTAGTAAGGCAAATGATTATTGAATAATCACTTTTTGTTAATTCATTGTTTAAATAATTACATTTTGTAATACTAATATCACCATAATTGTAAATTCCGCCAATTTCTGTAGATGATGTATTTGATGCTGTTGTGAAATTAATAATTCCTTTTTCTGCTGGAAATTGAATTGCAAATGCGGCATATTTATTAATTTCATAGTGATAAGATGTATTAATATTACTTACTTTGATATCTCCTTGGTTATGAAAAAAATGCAGCTTTATATCCACTGCATTGTGATACTGAACATTCAAATGCATAACTTTTGTAGTTATTTTCATCAGGTAATTCAATTAAATATGTACATCCATTAGTTTCGCTTGATGAATGTGAACAACAAATATGAACTAAGATGCATCTATATATATATCCAAATATGGTTTTAAATTATATAAAATTTACATTGGTGCCAAAACTCAAAAAAAAAAGATTTTTGAAAAATTAAATAAAAAAATGTTTAAGGCTGTTGAACTCGATGATTCTTAAAGAAAAATCTATTTACTCAAATGATATTGAAACTCAAGCCGTTTCTCAATTAAATTTATGATTAATAATAGAAGGTTTTCTTGCTATCAAATCAGATAAAGTTGATTTCAGTGAAAAACAGATTAGAATTGATTCAAATAGGATACCGAAGATATCAGGATAATATTAGTTTCTAAGAATTATGATACAGATTTGTTGTTCAAAGTGATCAACACATTCAGTGAAGAAAATTTGAGAGATTTCTTGAGATTCAGTTCAGGATATTCATATGTTCCTGCATGGAATTACAAACCTTTCATAAGTGTATACTCGATAATTGTTTCGAAAATGTCGACGAAAATGATGAGAAGACATGGCCTCTTCCAACTGCTTTGACTTGTTTCATGAAACTGATCATACATCAATTCACAAATATTCAAATTAATACAATCATGAATCCATTATTTCTGTTTTGTATATATAATAAAGATTATATATCTAATTCCTTATATATTTTGGATGATAAAGATTGGAATTTCTTGGAGATCAAAACTTAAAAAGTATCCTCTATTCATTCTGTACATCAGACTAAAAACATAAATCTTACACATATCCCTTTTAAATAAAGGAAGGTCATATTCATAATATGAATTTGTTAAATTATAAGAAAAAAGAGATGCTTTGCCGCCTACTTTGCAATTATCAATAAAACTATTTTTGAGATATATATTTATTCTACCTGCATCTGTTCCTCCGAATAAATTTGTTTCACAGCCATTATTAAAAATTGCACAATTTTCAATATAAATTTGATAATAATCTTGCCAATAAAACGAAAGAATTCCGAATTGGCAGTCTCTTGCTGTATTATTAAATATATTACAATAACTGAGATTTGTACTTGAATCAAAACCGATAACTGATTCCTTATATGAACATAATAGACAAAAAATGGAGTAATTAACTAAAATTGAATTGCCTTTAAGTTGAATATAACATCCTGCAGCCGTTTTAGCATTGACATCACTCATATTTACAAGATTTGATTTTCATGTGAAAAACACATTCATAATTGTAATTTCCTTCAAATTTGGTAAATCCAAGTTTAGAATAAACGCAATCAAGAATTTGGCAGTTTGTATTATCTTGATTTATTATATTAGAATGTTGTCCTTTGAATGTTGTTCCGCAATTTAAAATAGTTGTTCGGTATTCAAAAATTTTCGAAAAAAATCAAAAAATTTAAAAATCATCGAATCTGCAGGGATTTTAAAAAATTCTTTTTAGTAAAACTTAAGGATATTGTATCAGATATATTGGTATGGGCAAATTCAATTTTAATCCAATATTCATCGAGATATTAAGTTAACGAAGCTTTCAAAATTCACAACTTTAAAAAATGAAGTATAATGTGATATTGCCGAATCTAATGGTTCACCTGATTCAATATTTCCTTGATAACCAGAGTTATCTTTAAAATAACAATGATCAATGAAGGGACCATCAAAGAATATTTTGTTTCCTTTATTCCTCATAAAAGAGCAATATGAAAATCCACATGGCGGTGAACACATTATTAATGGACTATCAAACCCATTAATTTCATTGTCTAAATAATTACAATATGAAATGAAAAAATTGCCATAGCTATTAAGCATTCCTGCCGTTTTTGAAGATGATGTATTTGATGTTGTGATGTAACTCATATATGCATTTCCTGTTGGAAACTCAATCATATAAGCGGCATATTCGGTAATTTGGTGATTTGATGTATTGATATTATTTATCTTTATATTTCCTGCATGGTGCCAAATTGCAGCTGAGCTAGTTTCAGTGCCGCTACACTCGGATATTGATGACTCAATAACATAATTTTTATCATCATTATCTGGAATTGTTCTAATAATATATCCGCAGCCGGTAATTATTATAATTGTTTGAGACAATCATTGAGGATGTACATCTTCATCAATTGTATCTAATTTATATTGGGGATGTGCATACTATATCAAGTCAATTAAAAATAGCAATAACATCAGCTATGCACTTGAATGCTCCATATCACAATGTAGAGGTTATGGCTCTGCAATATATCATGCATATGGAGATATCCAAGTAAATAATTTGAATACATCATATCATAAAATTACAGCTTATGCCGCATACATTCTTGATACTCCAATAGGAACAGGAATTATGAATTACACAACATCATCAAATTCATCTTCTTCAGAATTAGGTGGAGTTTTAAATGCAGGAAGTCAATTTAATATTACGAAATGTAATTTTTTAAACAATGAATATAACGGAAGTACTAATGGAATCATTGATTGTACTAGTGCTAGTACATTTATAAATTGTTCAATCATAGAAAATAAAGGAAACTATTTATTTTCGCATAAACCAATCATTATTAATTGTTTCTTGAATGAAAACGTTGTAACTCGGACAGTAAAAGATGATCCTATTAATTTTGAATCAACTGAACTTCATGATTCGTTAATATCTCATTATACAACAGATAAATGTTCAGCTACGTATTTTTACCGTAAATCAAAATCATATTATGAATATCAAGAAGATATCAAATATATTGTCAAATATGTTTATAAAACTTCATTTTTTGAAGCTGTAAATTTATCTTCTTTAACATAATATAGAACAATGTTCCCCAACATGGTAATTGAGAATATTTGTATTGAATTCTATTGTATGATTTAAAGGAATATGATACATTAATCCATCATTTCGACCAATCGAATTCGCTTCAAACATCTACTCAATATTACATCTGCTGGATATTCATTGTTTAAAAAATTACATTTTGTAATATTAAAATTACCATAATTGTAAATTCCACCACCATCTTCTGTAGATGATGTATTTGATGCTGTTGTGAAATTAATAATTCCTGTTCCTCTTGGATAAGCAATTACATATGCAGCAAAATAAGTAATTTCATAGTGATAAGATGTATTCATGTTACTTACTTTGGTATCTCCTTGGTAATGCTCAAATGCAGCTTGATCTCCTTTGCATTGTGATACTGAACATTCAAATGCATAACTTTTGTTGGTACTTCCTTGAGGTAAAAAAATGAAATATGCACATCCATCGCTTTCGCTTGATGAAAGTAAACAACAAATATGAACTAAGACGCAATCAGATTCTTCGATACAGAATGATCCACCATTATCTGTGGAACTATTGTTGTAAAAGGAACATGTTTCAAGTAATACTTTGCTGCTAGAATCAAGGTAAATTGCTCCATTTTGGTAATGGAAAGAAAATACTGCATAATGAATGTAATAATTGCCATTCTCTGATATAGTTTCGTTCTTCGTTTTGCTAGTATAATCAATTGAGCCGTAATAATCGGAAAAACTTTCTTCAACTTGCAAATCGTTTCAAATTTAGATTTCCTTCGTTGATGATTCATTTCATAGTGTTGCATAAAGATGAATTTTGTTAAAATAAGCTTAAATCGTATTTTGGATGTGGTAATATTGGGATCACATGCTTGGTTTACAACTATTCAATTTTTTGGTTATTTCAAAGTTTCATATATTTGGATTCAGATGACCATTATTTTAGATATTTTCATGAACAATTTTGAAAAATTGACGCATTAATGGAAAAAAAAACTATTTATGATTTAATCATGTCATTTACAATTAGCTATGCTTTGACATTAAAAAACAAATAACAAGCAAAGTAAATCAATGAAAATCTAGATAAATTTTTATGAAACTGGCTATTTTTTGTATTTTATTACTATTAATAAATAGACAATTAACAAATATTCATATTTGCCATATTATTTTTCTCAGACATGAGAACAAAAGTGGAGATACCCTCATTAGGGGATCTGAACACTTATAAATTGAAAGGATTGATTGGCCGAACATTTTGTTGCCAAAAAAATTTTAAAAAAATTTTTTATTCACTAAATTTAAATGGGTAAAGACTACTACGACATCCTCGGCGTGTCTAAGAATGCCGATGCAACAGAACTTAAGCGTGCATACAGAAAGCTTGCTATGAGATGGCACCCAGATAAAAACAAAGATAACGAAGATGTCGCTAAAGCTAAATTCCAAGAAATTTCCGAGGCTTACGATGTTTTAAGTGATCCAGAGAAGCGTAAGGTATACGACCAATTCGGTGAAGAAGGCCTTAAAGCCGGCGCTGGTGGTGGTGGCTTCCCAGGTGGTTACAGATTTACACAAGGCAACGCTGAAGAGATCTTCCGTAATCTCTTCGGTGGTGGCAGCCCATTCGGCGATATCTTCGGCGGAATGGGAGGCATGGGCGGAATGGACGACGGTGGCTTCTCATTCAATTTCGGCCCAGGAGGCATGGGCGGAATGGGTGGCATGGGCGGTATGGGTGGCCGCCGCAAGCCACGCAAGCCAGAGCCACTTACTATCGAGCTTCCATTAACACTCGAACAATTATACTCTGGCTGCACAAAGAAGATGAAAATCACTCGTCGTATCAACGGCAGAGATGATCCAAAGGTTCTCCAGATAGATGTTAAGCCAGGCTGGAAGGAAGGAACTAAAATTACCTTCGAAGGTGATGGAGATCAGAACCCTGGCCAATTAGCACAGGATGTTATCTTTGTTATCAAACAGAAGCCACATGATGTTTATACTCGTGAAGGCGATAACCTTGTTACAGAAGAAATTATCTCATTAAAGCATGCACTTTGCGGATATACAGTTACAAGACCAGGTATTGATGGTGAACCAGTCCGTCTCGATGTTCAGGATATCATTTCTCCTGGTGGCGACTTCAGAGTTCCTGGAAAGGGTATGATTAACTCAAAGACAGGCCGCCGTGGTGATGTGATCTTCAGATTCAAGATTGCTTTCCCAGGCAATTTGTCAGAACAACAGAAGGAAGTTCTTCGTCGTACTCTCCCTGAATAAAAAAATTATTTCAAATGTATCCTATACAAAATAACAATAAACTCTTTTCTATTTTTACTTAATTAACAACTTGATTCAAAAACCTTAATTAATCAAATAAAAAATTTTATCAAAAAAAAATTAAACCCATTTTCCTACGTAAAGTCTCTCTATAGTTTTTCTACCTCAATATTAAGTGAATCTCTATCAAAAATTTGAATAAGAGACTTGAAGGAGGAAATGGAGTTTTATCTGATAGTTTCTAAAAAGGATATAACTTCCAAATAATATGGACATACATTACACATAAAAAAGACTGTTGAAATCATATTGTATTAAAATAAAACACATGAAAATTACTATCAAGACTAAATAAAACAAAACTGATATAATTATAGCTAAGCCATATTAAGTGTTTAAGATATACATCATATTGGCGAGATATAAAACATATTAAATTGATGATGAATTAGATCTGTATGAATTTGTATGTGACAAATATAAAAATTAATACTTTGATTGTTGGTCCATTTAAGAGAACAAAATAACAAATGAAATTAAGTAACAAATTTCAGAGTGTTTTAAAATAAATACCATTGGTCAAAGTTGACATCAATGTTATCTTCAACATAACTTGTTTCATAATAATTTTCGTCTCCTCTATTTGTTTGTGTAATCGCTTCAACTTCTTGAGATGAATTTGTTTTGAGTAGTATATCTAGATGGGGTGAAAGAGACTCATAATTTTCACAAATCCAAACTAGAAGACCATCTTTACTCCGTCGGTCATAAAACTTACTTTTGATATTGAACTCTCTTAACATTTTAAATGCGAATGATTTTAATGTTTCACCTGTAAGGTCTCCATATATCCTTTTTATTTCGGTAAATCTATCTCCATAATATTCAATCTTTCGCTGAATGTTATCGTTGACTTTTTTTGTGACTTCTCGAGTGCACTTTCGTCCTGACTTGCATCTGTACACTGCAATATTAGACATTACTGATAATAATTACTTGACAATGAAACAACGCAAATTAAACTTGGAATATAAATTTGAGATGAAATAATTTTTTTCATCCAAATAAAGAATCATTCTCGGATACATATAACCGAAAATGTATTGAAAGCATGAGTGCATGTCTAATTATCTTTTTGGTTCCGAAATAGTATCGTCAACATTAATTAGTAAATTATTGACTTTTCTATCAATAAGAGAGTATGTATTTCTCATGTATTGGACTGAAACATCAACCTTACTTGATGATTCTAAGCATTTAGCTGGATCTTCTAATAAAGAATAGCTGTACTTTAATTGTGCTAGTTTTTCGTTGAGTTGTTGTTTTTTCTTTTTCAAACGTTCAATTTCTTCTTCTAATTCAACAATGTTATCAGATACAAATTCATCAATAGGAGGACGACGAATTTGGAGTGGAGGAGCACGTATTGGTGGATTTTGCATTTGGGGTTGTATTAAATTTTGATTATTAATTCTCCATACAATTTCACCACTTGGCATAAGTTTGTATGAATTAAAAAAAGCAATACCATTGTTTGTCATAGTGAGAACTTTAGCAACTTGTGCTTCATTTAATTGAACTGGAAGCATTCTTGAAAGATTGAGATGATGAGTTAACTCTGGAATTGAGATTCCATAGTCATGTCCATTTCCTGGTATTGTCATATGAGCAACAATTGTTTGAACAGCCCCTAAAATTACTCCTGGATTCAAAATTATTGCCCTTTCTTGCATTTTTCAAAAAAAAAATTGAATAAAATCTCATATCGATATAATGATAAATATTTGAATATTATAATTAACAAGATGATTTTGGATTGTTTCTATCGTATTGGGTCAAAAATGACGAATAATATCAAACAATTCTTCTCAATTCCAGCTATTTTGATGAGAAATCAAAAAGATTATTCTGTTAAACAATGTTAGATTGTTAGCCTTATCAAAAATGTTTTGATATCCAGGGAAATTTCGAATGTTTCATTAATCTTTATATAATTTGATTTCCTGTATTCTTTGTCCAGAACATTTATGGTTGATTATTTTTAAAAGGACTAATTGCAATTTAAAGTAGCTATTTTTAATATTTTTCATATGGCTTTCAAATTTTGAGAGAGATTGATATTTGTAACGGAAACATTAATAAAAATGAGATTTTTCCAATACCGAGATAGTTTTAGAATAAAAGACTGTGAATAAAAATTTTTTCTTTACAATTTTTGTAAAGAAAATGAATGAGAGTGAGCACAAGCCATTGTTAAGACTTTCAGTTAATATGGACAACGTTCGTGATTTATTAACATTTCTCAACGATGAGGTTGCTCAACACGCTAAAGATATTCAAAACATCAAAAATTTACTTGCAAATATGGTAACGGTCAAACAATTTAATGAGCTTGAACGGATGGTTACAGATATTAATGATAACGTTTATCAAAAATTTGATGAATTATATCCTGCTTACAGTGATTTATCAAAAGAAGTTGAAAATAAAATTAAAACCATGCAAAATCAGTATGATTCCGGAACAGCTGGAATATATCAAGAACTTTCTACTAAAATTAATAAAATCCAAGATAATGTTGATCCATTATTATCAATGCAATCAAAATTAAACAATTACATAGAGAAAATGGACTCCTTTTTATCTAGTTCAGGTGATTTTTCAAAGATGAAATCGATAATTGATATAAATAATCGACTTGTTTCATTAGAGAGAGGTAGCAGAGAAAGAGATGAAAGCGACAGAGAATATAGAATATACGTTGATGAAAGATTTGATAGACTTGAATTAAATATTAATACTATCTCAAATTCGCTGAATAATATGAATTCTAATATTAATTCAGCTTTTAAAGAACAAGATGATAAAGAAACTCAAACCCATCAAGAAAAAGAACCTAATGACAACAACAATGAGAAATCAGAAGAAGAAATTATTAATTCATTAAATGAACTGAATAAAATATCAATAGATTCCAGAACTTTAGAGCCCAATAAGCCAAATGACCAATCGACTCCGCTGAAATCTAAAAAAGATGATATAAGAAGTAAAATCACCAAACTTGAAATCCCTGTTTCTATTCCAAACATGGGACCTAAAACAGCTTCATCTAGGGAGATTGGTAATCTCATGAAAGTTATTGTTTCATCTAGAAGTTCTCAACCATCACCTAAATTGCTTCGAAAATACCCTAATAGCTCCAGAAAATGAGTACTCTTGTGTGAATTAGTTTGTTTGTATTTTTATAAAGATATTTTAGAAATTTTGAATCTTATTTTTCAAATTATATGAAATTACTATCGTATTGTCACATTATTTTTGAATTGGAGGAAAAAAAATCTAAAAAAAATTATGGATAACGATAATAAGGAGGCCGTTGAAGTTAAAGCTATTTTAATTGGTGATGCAAATGTCGGTAAAACATGTATTGCAACCAAGTACGTAAATGGTTCATTTACTGATAAAATTGAACCAACTGTTGGTGCCGCATACTTTACAAAAGATGTAGTTCAAAATAATGTAAATATTCAACTAAACATATGGGATACAGCAGGCCAAGAGTCATATAGATACCTTGTACCGATGTATTATAGAAATGCCCAAATCGCAATTGTAGTTTACGACGTAACAAGCGAGCATACATTTAAAGATGTTAATGGGTGGATCGAAGACGTAAAGCGAAATGTCGGAGATCAAATCATCGTTATTGTTTGTGCAAATAAAGTCGACGCAGAGAATAGAGCTGTTACTGAGTTTGATGGACAAGATTTCGCAAAATTAAATAATTTCATATACGCAGAAACATCAGCTGTCACTGGACAAGGAATTGATAAATTATTCCAAGTTTCTTTGGCAGAATACATGAAACAATATGTAGGTGGCCCAGTACAAGAAAAAGTTAACTTAAGCGGCAAATCTGGAGACGAAAAGAAAAAGAAAGATTGCTGTTGAAAAAATTTACCTTTTACGACATAGTTCTCAGTACTTTTTCATCTTCCTTTCTAAAATATTGTTTGTTTTAAATATACTATTAAAAAAATTCAAAAAAATAATAATAAATATGAGAGATATTTTAACTAACAAATATAAGATTATAAGATTTCAAACGTCAGCAGGGTTTGATATCCTTCCATTATAACTGAAGTCGTGAGTTCTATGTATAATAAGAACAACAAATTGTAAAATCAAATTTATAATATGCCAGATGGTAACAAGAACTCCGAAGAGCACAGATGCTGCTGAACCGTAATTGGCTGCTATATCTAGCCACCAGATTCCAACGCATCCAGAACCTGGAATTCCGATAATTATTATAAGTAATGCTGCGATAACAAATGTCTGTAATAAGCCAAATCTGAAGTTAGGCTTTTCATCACGTATTGAACAATAAAATGAATAATATTGATTTGAGAAAAGCAAAATAGGGAGAAACACTGCAAGAACGAGTGACATGAATACATCTTTTATTGGGCATTTAAACCAATGGTAATTTATAGCAAATCCGAAAAATTGAACAAAAATTTGGAAAATGCACGCACCGGTAAATGAAAGGGCTGATACATACATTAATTTGAAGAAAGACCAAAAGTTGTGAGGAATTTCTGCATTAAGATCAACATAAACTACTGGATAAAACGAAGGAAAGTTTGGAATATGCGCATTATTAGTAACAGACTCTCGTTCGAGACCTTCTAAGTCTGATGATTCGACTGTTTGCTGTTGTGAAGCAGCAAATGGATTTGGAAGAGTCTCATTTTCAGTCATTCGATTTTTATCGGTAGGGATATCTATCGGGGAAAATCATGTATTCTTCCAACATGATCAAATATTGATGTAACAACTGAATTCAATCAAAAAAGCACCTAAAAACTTGAAATTGCGGATGAAATTCATGAAAGATCGGTTTCAAGTATTGTATTTCTTATGTTAGCTAAATATTTTTGTTTCTAATAAAATTCTTAGGTTATATATTGAAAATCAGGATTATTTCCTGGATTCTGAATATCCGAAAATAATTCTTTTATAATGATGTAGGTAGTGTTGTAAAAGACTAATAAGTAAAATATTCATGTCGACACTAGGATATGTTTAGTTTTGAAATTGGCGTCAAATTAATTATGCTATTAAAAATGATCCTTTTGGATAAACACAGATAGGAATAGCTCGGAATTCATAAACAAGTGAAAAATTTTGATAACAAAATCTTTTGCATCAAAATTTGAAATTGGGAAAGTTGAATAAGACAAACTAGAATATTTATGAAAGAGGGAAGCTAGATTTTGTTTTTACAACCCATAAATTTTGATGTCGCGACTTCCTGCTATCCTTGCATTTGCGGAGGCCGGCCCAAATGAAGCAGAATCAGATAGTATATACAAATACCTTTCAGACACAGACTTTGAAGAGAGCGAAGTCAAAAGCTGGGGCACAATTGGTTCTCTTCTTGAAGCATTAAAAGAAGCAGAAAATAACCCAGAGCCACCAAAGTTAGGACAAGAGTTTATTGACTTTGTTTCCAAGCTTCCACCGGGAACAACACCAAGACCAATTGTCAAAAAGCAAATTCAGCGCTATATCCCTGTTTAATTCAATTATGCATTAACATTTCTTATCCTTGTTTTGCATATTTTATCTTGTAAAGTAAATACGATTAATATAATACATAAAAAAAATAAACTGTATATCATTCATCTTTTTCATAGACTTATATCATCATTTGTGCTTCTTAGCCTATGCATTTTCTTTTGGTTGAACTCTTTTCCAGAATTAATGAGGAAAAAACAAAAATTCATAAAATATTTTGCCTTGAAAACACTCAGATTACTAATTTAGTTTTATTTCTATATAAAGTAAGATTTTTGTGATTTAGATTTCATAATTTTTTCGTTTTAAATGTTTAATAATCAAATATATTTTGAGGTAAGAAAAATACCGAACGTATCAATGCTAAAAATTTTACAAAAGCTAAAAGAAATAAAATTACTCTCCTTCTTCATCTTGAAAAGAGTTAAGACGTTCTTCTATCAATTGAACAAGTAAAGGTGTTCTATCGTAGCTGCGAAGACCAAGCTTAGTGCAAAGAGCCTTGCGGTTAACCATCTGTTCTGGATGCTGAGATTCGTAGCGTAATACTGATGGAGCAAATTTAAATCCTATAGATTCTAAATATTCAAGAACAAGAAGATATTCATCCAAGTCATCTTCGTTTGAAATATCGATACCTTGGTATGTTTCTGGTGGTGGTGCATTGTTATCAAGTAAATGGTTGGCAGTTTTCTGAGCGATTTGTTGGGCTTCCTGAAGGACTTTTTCTTTGATACCCTTTTCTTCGACGAGTTTCTGGACTTCTTCGACGACGTCTTTCTGTGTCGCCTGTATGAAATCGTTCATGAAGCTCATTTTTAATGTGTCACTTTTTCAAAACGTTTGGATTCCGTTTAAAATTGAAATTACTCAAGATAAATTAATTCTGATTTTTGGACATGGTGTAGCTGCTCTTTTTATGTGAGAAGGATCATCTCCTGAAACTAAACAAAGCTAATGCAAAGCTTTTGAATCAAACTGCTTGCATCTTTCTAAAAATCAACATAAATATTTTGGATATGTGTATAAGTTTTCCAAGATAATTCATAGTCTCGTGATGAATCTATAAAAATTGAAATTTAATCAAAATATTGCTATCATAGGTAAATTATCAAAGATGATCCGAGTCACTATCTTATTTTTAAGTGTTAGATGGATATCAATGGCAAACTCATAGTTTTAGCAAAAAAATCAAAATTATAAAAGATAAAAAAGAAAAATTAAACTTGGTTGTTAATAAAAATACTGTATAGGTTTTATGTAATAGTCATTAAGAATGTATCAGATTACTCCTCTGCATTTTGCTGATCTTCTTCCTCATCATCATCTGGAGTTGCCATATCTGGAATTCCTTCTACAATGAGGAACTTTTTACCATTATCTGAAACTAAATTTCCGCTTTTAATATGGATACCTAATAATACTTTTTGTAAAGCTTGTAATTCTTCTGGTGTTGGATTTTCTATATCAGCTGGAACTGGGCAAGGAATTCCAAGGTCTTTGCAAGCAGATTCTAAGCCCATATAATCAATTTTACGAGCAAGACTTAACATTAATGATTCATCATACTCAACTTCTACTTCTTCCTTTTCTTCTACGATGATCTTCAATGGATAATGGATTTTTCCATCAGAAGTGTCTTGAAGAAAGTTGTGGAGGTAAAGATTCATTGTCACTTTTTATAGGGCATTTTTTTTATCAAGAATTTCTCAATCAAAGGAATTTTTAGCAATACGATTGATGAAATTGATATCTTCTATTAGATTTTGACTATTTAGTAGTAAGATAGTAAGAAATATTGCATTATTACGTACAAAAGCAAAAGATTTCTTTCAATAGATTTATTTTTCAAAAAAAATCTACCAACTATTGACAAAAATGATCCGCTAGTTAGAGAAGCTCATAAAAACATGTAGTCTATACTTCATTTGAGCTCAATAAAATTGAACATCCGATTTACTTTGTAAAATAGCTTACTTCGAAGCCCACTAAGATACACATTTGTTTGGCTTACCAAAAATCCTCTTCAAATTCTAATAATCTATTCACACAAATTTAGCCATTCTGAGAAGGAAATATTTACAAGATATCCATAGTTTTACGATGTATATCCTAATTTTGGATATTTTTATATAACAAAATGATTTACCTTTATATTTTTTATCTCAATCATAAAGATTTCATTGTTTAATCATGCATATATCTATTTTTATCAGTATGGACTAAATAAACAGTGACTTTTACTTAATTGTCTTATCAATTTAAAAATATAATATCTGATATTTGCTTCTACAACAGTTTTCTATGAAAAGAACTTGTTTTGTAGCATTTTTATGCACTATACTGCACATTAGATATCTTGATTTGCAATTTTAAACTTCGGAAAATTCCAAAAAAATTTCAAAATTTAAAAAATGATTCGAAAAACTACAAAATTTGATATAAATATTTCAAATCGCAAAAAATTTTGATTATAAAACTACTTTGTTTTAGATGATTAATGATATATGCAATTCAATTTTCATCAAACTTTTGGAAAATGGTAAAATTAAAAGTATTTGACTTATGTTTTGATGTTTAACACAAAACTGGTTGTGCGGACAATCAGTATATAAGAATTGACTCAATTGTGTTATAGCAAAATTCTCCAAAACTGATTTTATTCTGGTTATGAATTTTGATTTCTCAGCGCGAGTGAGAAAGAAGATATGCAACCATTTAATCTTGTCAAACCAAATCTATTGATGTCATCTTAAATTCGCAGATTATTTTTCTCCAGTAACAAAAAAATATGAACAGAGTTATTCAAAAAAGAATTTTTTTTCCTAAGATAATCAAATGAGTGTTTATCAACAACTATTTTACCATGGCAAATATGATAAGCTTCTCAACGAGCTTCTTGCCATTCAAGATCGTTCAGTCCAGGAAACACACAATCTTGCTATTACTCGTTACTTAATTACAGGTGATTCTCCATTACCTGAATTGCAAAAACTTGTAGATAGTATTAAAGCCGAAACTCTTGCCCAAACATCATGGCCGACACATCCATCATACGCATTATTAATGTATCACATTTGTCTTTACTATTTTAGATCATCCAACTACCAGAACTGCATTAAAAACTTAAATAACATCTGGGCGAACATCGATAAGATTGACAAAGTCATTGGACTTTGTGTTTCCCTGTTAACTATTGAGCTTGCAATTCGTACTGGCGAAAACGAGAATATTGAAAAAGCTTTCAACTTCATTCAGTCGAATTTCCAAACACCCGAGTCAATCACATCACTTTTAGCATCAAAGAACATTGATGGCCAAATCGTTAAAGAGATTTCTCAAAATGTTCAATACGCAAAACTTCGCTACGATGTTTCTCAGTTAATAAACAAGCCAATGGACGAAGAAGTCAGAAATCAACTCGAAGAGATCCTTTCTCAAAAAGAAATTACTCCAGATTCCAAGAATCGTTCTCCCATGAGTATTGCACAGGTTTTACCTCTTGCATGTGCCGCTCTTCGTCTTGGTGATCAAATGAGATTCCAAACGGTCCTTGAAACTGCAGATGATGCAGTTAATTTTTCAATCCTCAACAACAGAGGTATTTCCGAGTTATTACAGAAGCGCTATTCATCCGCCTTACTCCACTTTACAAAATCCTTGAATTCAAGGCCAAACAACGAGTTAATTTACCCTTATCATCAAGTTGCCTACAATCTTGGCATTTCCTTACTCATGAAGCACCAGCCACAGAACGCTTTTCAATTCCTCTATCCTATCATACCTCTAATGTCACGTTCTCCCTATCTTTGGCTCAGATTGGCCGAATGCATCGTAATGTACTACAAAGATCGCATCCAAGAGCTTCGCAAGCAGACACAGGTTAACTCCGTTATTGCCAAGAAGCTATCCACTGAGTCCAGGACCTTCTACATCCTTCCTTTACCCGACAACAAATTGTTCGACCAATACAAGACACAAAACTCGAACATGACGTTGGAATTCGCCGAGAAATGCACGAGAAACGCGATCACACTCTGCGGATACAACCCACAGCTCAATTCCGTGCGAAGAGCTTCAGAATTACTCTGCAGTTTCATTTCATTAGAACTTGGTGACGGAAAACGAGCTGCTGACATGGGCAAAACAGTTACAGCCGACAATACTGTTGATAACCAACAGAAATTCCTTGCAAAAATCTATTCCGCACAAGGACATTTGATGGTCGGAGAGTCTGAAGAGTCTTCCAAGATCCTTTCGAGGTTATTGATCGAGAATGACTTGAAGAAGGAGAAGGACCAACTCATAAGACACGCGCTAACATTCGCAAGGGTCGGAATGGCAACAAATGACACAAAAAGAGTTGAAAATCAATTACAAAAGGTGTCAGATACCGACCAAAAGAAACCTGAATGGGTTTTGACGAATATCGCATTCGAGTTGCAGAGAAGACACGTAAGACAGGCTCACCAGATACTTCTCAATTACTGTAACTCAAATACTGAGTAATTTTTCTTAATTTATTTTTGTTTTCCTTTGTTAGTTTATATTTGTATAGAAAAAATATTTTTTTTCCCAAAAAAAAGCGAAATTTTTGAATTTTTATTTTAATAAAATATATTAATTATTAAGACTAATCAACCATTTTTAACATGAGTTTGAACCTCAACATGTTATATTTTCCATGAAATTAATATCATTATTCTCTTATTAATGATACTTTTGTTTGAGAATCACATTTTCTAAAGCCAAGAAGTTATTTCATGTTAATAGTATCAATTTTGAAGTTGAGGCTCCATATGCATTCCCTCTCTATTTTGAAATTAATTATATAGGACTTGAGGCGTCTTTAACTTGATATCTAAAGAGTTTAATGGGAAACTATCTCTAGCACTATGTATCCATATATACTGGTGCGTGTAGAGAATATATTGTCATTGGATGAATGCATGTTGTATCATTGGAAAAAGGGAATTTTTGAGCCCACAAAATTTGTACATGTATCAATTTATGAAATGAGAAATTAGCTGAAATTCAATGAGGATATATTGAATTTCAATGATTTTAACATGTAACTCAATAAACTGATGCCATTTTCCTTCAATGATTTTGTTGCTGATGAACTTGAAATGAACAAACGACCATCTGTGCATAGCCTTGATATTGAAAGTTGATTTTTTTTGAATAAATTATACCCTTTGACAGAATACCTTACTTTTCTAGGGAGATTTAGTGACATTAACTAAATCTTATCATTATCTAGATCATGCTATCAACCGCTTTAATTCTTGGTTTGATTTGCCAACAAAAAGCTTATCCATTTATTCTAAAGAGAAGAAAAAAATTATTGTTTTAAAACATTTCAGCTAAACGAAGTAATGTACATCAAAGTTTGTAAATATGTCTTATGAAAGAGAATAATTTATCATTTTCAGCTGTTTTATTTTTGATTATTCAATTTGGAAAATTAATTTCATCGTATTGACTGCATTAATATGATACCCCAACAAAACATAACAGCACGGTATCGGTTGTCAATTAAAATCAAACAAATAACAGACCAAGTTGAAAAAAATGTCATTTTGCGTATACACGCTCTTTATAATTCGATATTTTATAGGTACTCTTGTTCAATAGTAGAATTAAAGTGGTGTTCACTCACACTTACTTCAAAATACGATAACGAAGAAGATTAAATATTCAAGTTATCTCATTTTTGAGAAAAAAAAAAAAAAAAAAAAAAAAAAAAAAAGGAAGTGGGGCTTCCAGGCACTTCGTGCCTTCTAGCCCTGAGGATGATTGGTATAATGAAGTTTTTTTTTCTTGGGGTGACCTTCCAGGCACTTCGTGCCTTCTAGCCCACATAAATGAAGTTTTTATTCGGAGGTCTTCCAGGAGCTTTTCACAAATTATATATGTTTTCATGTTTTGTCAAGACTTCTTCGTAAATGTTTTGTCAAGACTTCTTCGTAAATGTTTTGTCAAGACTTCTTCGTAAATGTTTTGTCAAGACTTCTTCGTAATGAGCGTAAATGACCCAAAAATAATGTTTATGTTAGAATGTTAGATCTAACACGTTTTCTAACATGTTTTCTAACATCGTAGAAAACTCATGATTTCATCGTAAATGTTTTGTCAAGACTTCTTCATCGTAAATGTTTTTAACTTCACTTAAAATGCCACGTAAGCTACGTAAGAATATACGTAAGAGGAAGGGAGCATTGAAACATCCAATAGTAAAACTAACACCACAACAACAGTTGCAACAACAAATTATGAATGACCCCACTATGTTGCAACAAATGTCAAGCAACCCTATGCTTTTAAACCGAGTTCTTGGTGCACAAAGTGGAGGTTTAAGAGCGGCACTTTTAGCGAAAATGGCAGGCTATGGTGGAGCTGCAGACGGAACAGCATATAACCCTCAAAGTCAAATGAATTTGAGTTCACTCAAAAATCAAATAACAGATGTCAAAAAGTCAAACATAGACATACAGAAACAAATAAGTGAAAACGAAAAGAAACTAGAATATGACAGACACACAAAGAAACTCAATGAGTTAAACGTAGAGAAAAAGAAGAAAGAAGAACAACTGAAAGAACTAAGTACAGAGGAATATGCGAAAAAAGTGTCAGAAAAAGCAGCAGAAGTAGCAAAAATGGAACAAGATGTCATAAATTTGAAAAACCATACTACTCAATATAAAGTACTGAAAGATGAAGAAATAAAACAAAAAGCCCTGAAGACATATATGGATAGCGATGAGTATAAAAAAGAAGTTGAAGCAAATGTAAAGGCAGAAAAACTTTTACAGTTGCAAAACCAAACCGTACAGTATGAAAACTTAGCACAAGAAAGTAAAAATAACGACGCAGCCATGCAAAAGGCAATGAAAAGCGCAGAATATATAAAAGCTAATAATGACTGGTTAGATGCCCAAGCCAACGCTAAAGCAGCCCAACTCATAGGGTCAATAAGGACAAAAATACAAGCGGATGAAGACAGTTCAAATGAAGCTTTAACAAATGCTGACTTTAAGAACGCTTTCGAAGCTCTTCATAGTAAGGTGAAACAAGTGAACGACTTCTCATCTGGAAAGAAACTGAAGTCTGAAGGTTTCGACAAAGAGTTAAGAGAAGTAGCACAAAATATGACGAAAATAACAGATGCAGCAACGAGACAGGCAGTTCAAAGTGCCTATGACGCCGTTAGAGCAACTGTTGTGGAAAGTCAAGAAAAAGAGTTACAACAGACCAAAACAGACCTAGTAAATGCTTTCTTAAAAACGAAAAGTCAGGTAGGACATTACGCTGCAGATGGAACATATGTGCCAGCTGGTGGAACTTATATACCACCAAACCCTCCAAGAGAAGCACCTGCACCAGGACTACCTAACACATTTACATCGTCACATGGACACAGACACAGGCATGCACCAAATCCAGCACAACAACAACAACAACCAAAACCAACAGTTCAAAATCCAGCACAACAACAACAACCAGCACAACAACCACCTCCACAACCAGCACAGCAACCACCTCCACAACCAGCACAACAACAACCAGAAACAGAGCAAGGACATAAAAGAAGTAGAGAACAAGGAAACCAAGAATTCTTAAAAATGCTTAAAGAAGAGTGTGGTTTCCCAGATAGTATTGACTTTAGTGACAGATATAAAGAAGCTATTAGAAAGTTCAAGGATGGAAATACTGACCCGGACCTATTTAGCTTTATGGCTCAGCACCAAAACGGATATAATCTCAAACCTGGAAAATACAAGCTCGCTAAGGGATATGATTTAATAGCATATCATCCAAATGACATGGATGAATTTACTCCGAGATATTTGATGTCAGAGCTAAATGACAATCAACTTTCGTCATGAAACGCGTAAAAAAGAGACGGAACGAAAGAACAAAAGCTTATGAATGCGGATGACGTAGATAGGGAAATTGTTGAAAACGGTCTCGGAATATATGAAATGCCAGCAGATGAGGTACAAGAAACTCCACAGGAAGAAGTTCAGATACAACCAGACATGGAAGAAATAGTTCAGCAACAACAGCTAGAAGAGCCTGAAGGAAACGAACAAGTCCTTCCTTTGGAAACTAACTTCACAGAACTAGATGAAGATTTGGAACAGCCGAAAAATCTTGACCCTCAACAAGAGTATGCGGAGAATATGGAATATTTCCAAGAGTCTAAAAAAATTCGGCTGACATAGTAGAAGAATATCGAAAAATGTTTGCCGACATACAAAAGACTCCAGCACCAGATGAAAATATTCAGCATAGAATGGAAGAACTGAAAGAAAATGTACACAAATACAACAACCCTTTTACTTACGAGCATTTAACGTTCAATCTTTGGATGAACTCGGTGAAAATAAAAGGTTAAATTTCAAGAAAACATATAGAAATGAAAACTTGTTTAAAGTTCATTCAGAACCTAACCAAGATGGAAACAAACCTACTTTTGTTTCTGCAGACGATGGAACTACAATGAGATGGGGTCATAAAGCTAACCCGGATAGGTGGTTCATAAACTTACAACCTCAATTCCAAGAAGTTGTAGACGCAATGGAAGTGAATGGTGAACGAGACATAGCTGGTATTTTAAGCGCGGCTTTAATGCCATTGAAAGATATGAAACATGCAGATATTTTGGACCAGTATGAAATGAACATGGCTGATGGAAATATAACACCTGACGTTCTAAAACATTTATCTCAAAGAACTACACAGAACCATAGAGATGGTATATTTGGTGAAGAGTTTAGAAAGAAAGTTAGGGAGGGCGAAGGAAGAGAACCTATTGTACATGACCTTGCAAACGAAAGTTTACAAAATGTCATAAAAACTTACTTTGCAGACAATGAAATGAGAAGGGATGAATATTTAAGAAAACTCAAATGGACAGTACCAAATGAAATGTTAGTATTGAAAAACATGTTCCTTGACAAAATAAAACCAACTACAGAAATAAACGACGCAAGACTGAAAGATTGGGTAAAAGCTTTCCCATTCACAAAAGATATAGTTGGTAACATGGAAAGAAAACCAGAATGGCTACAAAAACATATATTTGGAAACGAGCTTATTCCATATGGACAGGCTCTGTTTGAAGAGCTTGAACCGGAAACTCAGGAAAGAGTCATGCAAACAATACGCGAAGACTCAAATACAAACTATGACAAACTCTTTCTAGGATATAGGGTACCTGAGATGGGCGACCAGAGCCCAAAGGCAAAAAGGACATGGGAAATTTACAACATACTAGGTGAACATGAGGCAAAGATGCAACAACTTGAAGCAGAGGGCAAGTTACCAAAAGCGACACCAAAGAAGAAGAGAAGAGTAGAACAAAGTGAAAGTAGTGAAGAAGTAACTTCATCTAGTGAAAGTAGTGGCAATGAAGGAAAAAGAAGAGTTAAAGATTCAGTTAAAAACTCAGCCAGGAAGAAAGTAAAACTTGGTCCACGTGGGTTTTATTATGACACATAAATCCAACTATTCTATATTTTTACCCATATGAAATGTACGCCGCTCAGAATATAACGCCAACAGTTTTGGATGCCATGAACGGAAATGTTTCCGAATGGTATAACGAATGCGACAATGCCATTAGAAGGTCAGAAATAGTTCCTGGAACTTACGAATATACAACTGCTGTTTCTTATGGAAACGTAGGTGAGTTTGGAGAAGGCTCTTCAACAACAGTAGATATTGCTTGCGACAGGTTTCATATTATTTCTATTGACAACTCATTCTTATACGTGGAACAAGACATTGAAATAAAACCTTCTGCCAAGTTGTCTGACAAGAAAGGTTGCAATGGAATTTTCTATGTCGGATACCAATATGCTCCAGAAGTTTTCATGGGATATAAGATATATTCTAACTCTGACTTAGTTCAAACAGTAACATGGGCAAACTATGAATGGTTCGCTTTGAGAAACTCAGTACAACCACAAGCTAGAGAACAAACAGACCAGTATGCAAATATTGAGAAAATAAGAAGACTTGACCCTAACGTTCCAGGAGTTTATGTTGACCTTTCTGGACAAACTGCAGCAGCAGTAACCAAAGTAAAACTGAAACTTAGAGTTCCTTTGTCATCTTTCCTCATCTTCAGGTTTTTAAGATACTTGCCAAACTGGGCAGGAAAAATTTCTATCGAACTTACTCAAGCAAAAATAACTTAGTCATTGCACCAACACAAGACCCATTCACTATTACAGACGTAAAGGGAACAAATCAAACGTCATTCGCCGAATTTTGCAAAGACAAAGTTGACTTAGACTTTGGTTTCTCAAACTTCAACAATGAAGTAAACTATTATTTCAATGCTGCTGGAACTGCTTGGGACCCAGTTAAGTTCACATGCGAAAAATTTGAATGCAAGAGAATAGAAAGCAGACTTGCAGTCTATATGTTGGACCCAGATATTTCAAATGCTTTAGCTGCCAAATATATTGCAGTTCCACTTATGTTCCCTATACACCAAATATCTGTCAAAGACTTTGCAGGTGAAGTTGGAAACCAAAGTGCTGACCCAGGTGCAAGAACAGATATTGCTTTAACAACTGCAATGAAACATGCAGATACTATGTTTGTACTGTTCAGACGAACTATAAATGACTATTCTTGTTTCTACAACCCTGGTATTAAATATCATATAAACATAGATGGCAAATACTATCCAAGAGAAGAATATTCCACAGTTGAGGATATGAGGTCATACAACTTGACATTAGATGCTATGAACTTTAACAACAACTTCACAACAACCATTAACCCTGAAATGCAAAGTTCTATTATGCCATATGTGAAAGTATGGACCCATACAGGAGCTCAAAAAACTCAATATACAAATGGAGACCGTTCAAACTTTTGGCTTGGCATTCCATTTGCTGACTCAGAAGACTTTATGGGTGGTATTTCAACTGTTGGTACAGTTCAAATACAATATACTGGTGACAGAGACGGTCCAGATGAATTGAAAGCAAAGAAGTTTACAAAACCAATAGCACTTTTCACGGAAGATGCTCTTTTGAAAATTCGTTCGATGAAACCTGCTGGGGCTCCTCAGATTGGCATAACGACAGCTTCCATCGAGCAGATTTTGGCAGCAGGTCAGTAAGTTGTTCTTGAACTGACTTCTCTCCGTCAAATATTGACAGTACGCCAGTTTTGACATAAATTGTAAGATAAACTTACCTTTAGAAATATCTGTAAGTTTTGTTGTTATATTTTTTGTCAACGTCAAGAACTTTCACCATCTCGGTTATACCAACTTTCTTTGCTTTATGGAAATATTTTGGTTCAGCAAATATTGCTATTCTATAACATTTACCATTGTTTGTATAAAGAACTATTCTGTCAATGTATTTGTATTGTGTGTGTGTAAACTTTGTTCTGCTTCAATTCGAAGAGATACTCAAATACGTCCATCTTTTTATTCTAAGTAAAATGTCATTTCCGAAAAATAGAAGCGTAAGTGTTTCAAAAGGTTTAATGGCGGTGGCAGATGTGAAGTTAAATTCACCAACTCAAACAAACAGTCAAAGTGTTGTTGTCAATGTCAAAAAAAGAGATGTTGAAGTGGGGAAACCATACGAAGACGAAGATGGTATACAATAGTTCCTGTAAAAGAACAACCAACATACCCTGAAGTTAGCAGAGACTTAAGTTCTGTTGCAGATATTCGAAATGACTACCAACAACTGAAAGACAAACTTCAAACTCAGGAGAAGATTTGTCAAGCTTTAAGTATAATGTTAAACTTGGTCGAACACAACCCTGTAAAATGAACTCATATGTCATCGCACCTCATGAAATTTTGAAAGAACTATTGAAACTTTTGACAGAGGCAGATGATATAAACATCAAAGAAATAGAACCCGACATTAGTTGCTGTGGTGTTTCATATAATGTCATTGACAAGATATACGTTATGAAAGGAGGTGAAACGTTGAACTTAAAATATAGTTTCCCAGACGTCATAAAAATATTTGACGACCACAACATTTCATTAAAATTTACTTGCTAAGTAAAAATGGCAGAAGACATAGTGGTTTATACTATTACGACTAAAAACCCTGAGTCATATAATTCTATAACAACAAACTTACAAAGTCCTCAAGGACGATATTGTAAACTGACCTTAAACACGATGACGACTAAAGCCTGTTTTGCTCTTTTGACACCAGAAGACTTTGTTGTTGTGAATGGTAAAAATACTTCTTTGAAGATACTTACTCAGATATACCACCAACAGGTTTTGTTGACTTATTTAATACTTTAAGGACGGATGTAACATGTGCTGCAACTAGAGCAGGTTTCATTATGTTTGGATGTCCGACTGAGTTTACTATAAACGATATGAGCTATAATACAAAACTTATATCTGGTTTTTACTACCAACAGTTTCCTATAACAGGAAAAGGTGTCATACAAGGAATGTCTATTCCATTGACATTAAGCACACCAATCTTATATATTGTTTCAAACTTAGGTTCAAAGTGCTATTCGAATGTCGACAGAAACTACTATGACAAAAGATACTCATGCGTAATAAACAACACTTTCTCTGCTGGTTTGCTATTGTTCATTCGAATGCAGAATTTTTCAACCTTAGTGAACTCAAAACTTTGGCAAGTATAACGTTGACATTAGTTGACGCAAACTTTGTTCCTGTAAAACTTTTATGTCCTATGTATTTTGTCAATGACGGCAGAAAGTTTTCGAATTGGAAGATGCAACCGGTGAAAGTATTGTATTACAAGAACAACTTCAACAACAAATAGCTCAAGAACAACAAATGCAACAAATAGCTCAAGAATAAAAAAAAATATTTTTTTATTTTTATAAAAATGTACAGAATAGATGTTTCAGATTTTTATGACTTCCAAGCCTTCAGAAATATGTGTCCATTTCGAGACTATAACAATGCAGTCGAGAATTTGAAACGTTTAGTCATTTATGTCGACTCTGCCCCAGAATGTTTGTCATGAAAGAATGGGATGTTGTCTTTAACAAACCAAGAGCGACAATAGTTTCAGAACAAGTTAGACAGAAACTTAAACTTAAGAAAATAAAAGTCGTACAAGTTGGCATGAAGATGTTAGATGCTTGGGATATCTTATTGTCAAAGTTAGAAGATTTTTCAGTTCGTGGTGTATAAGTTTTATACACCTTCTCCAAACTTCTATTCTATCTTCACTGGATATAAATATGAACAAGTAGAATGGAAAGAAAATATTATAGAAGCTTGGTTAGACCATGTCAAAGAAATTATATGCAATGGAAACGAAAAGGTTTATGAGTATATCTTATGTTGGTTTGCAAACATCTTACAACATCCAAGTGCTAAAAATGAACTGCTCTCATTATAATTGGAAAACAAGGAACAGGTAAGAATACTTTCTTTACAGATATCTTATGCAAACTTTTAGAAGGTTATTCGAATCCGAATATGACAAACTTAGAAAACATCTGTGGCAAGTTTAACTCCTCAATAGAGAATATGAAACTTATAGTTTGCAATGAACTTCAAAGTATAGATACACAAAAAAGTTTTGAACTCAGATGCTTTGAAGAGTCTTATAACAGATAAAGTTGGAGTTGTTGAAAGAAAGTATAAAGACCAAAGAGTTTGTGAAAATGTTGCAAACTTCATTATGGTTTCAAACAATACTGTTCCGATGAAGTTAGAAAGTTCTGACAGAAGATATGTAGTTGTCAGAACGTCAGATTCTCATATGCAAGATACAGAATATTTTGACGACTTAGCAGAAACTTTGACATCTGACTTTTACAACCACTTGTTCTCATACTTTATGACATTAGATATTTCTAAGTTCAATCCAAGACAAATTCCACATACGAAGAGAGACAAACATTGTTAGAAGCAACAAGAGTGTATATGAACTGTTCATAGATGAAACTGACTTTGTGTCATTAGATGAAAGGTCATTGTACGATTCGTATAAACAATATTGTCAAGAATATGGTTATATGGCAGCTTCTAAACGAACATTCTTGGCAAATGTCAAAAGTCTTTTAGATGTTCAGAATGGTGTATATACAAAGAAAAATTTTTCTGAGTAAATTTTAAAAAAAATATTTTTTTATCCGATAGAAAAGATGACAGAAAAATTAACTTTTTACATAGCGCCAGACCCTTCTTGCCCACATCTTTTTAAGCCACAATATATAGACATAGAACTAAATAGAGAAAGCGAAATTCTACAAACAGAAGAAAGCGAAATTCCACAACATATAGAGACCTAGATAACGAAAATGGATATGCGCTATTCTGGTTAGATTGTCCTTATGAAATGTATGAAAAAAAGGCTTTATATGAAGAATATAGAAAATATTGTCATGAAAACGATATAAGACCAAGCTCTAGAGAAAAATTCTATGCTGGTATAAAACATCTTTTCGAAGTTCGGAATGGCAAATATAGAAAGAAATAATTTTTCTGAGTAAATTTTAAAAAAAAATATTTTTTTTATCCGATAGAAAAGATGACAAAATTCATCTCAGTAAATAAGTACATGTCAGGACTTAAAGAAGAACTAGACCCATTCGCTTATTTGAATGTTTACTTCTACCATTTTGAAAAGTCTTCATTCAGCAAAGTTTGGAACATCGAACCAGTTAAGTTTGCTATTGTGACTAAAAATGGTGCAACTTTTGAAGACTTAGACATAGAAGGTTTGTTAGCAGTCAAAGAAAGTTTTGACAGAAGGTTCTCAAACCTTAAAGAAGGCAAAGCATACAAACTTGTTATACCTTATGAACCAAAGAAAGCAGACGACTATGAATATTATGAGTCTAAGATAGTTGAAGTTCAAGGTAAATTGGGTAAAAAGATTTTAGAGTCTAAGCCAGTGTTTACTCCTAAAGAGGAAGAGAACATTGACATTGACCCAGAAATGTTCTAAAAATAAAATTTTATTTTTACATGTCAAATTTCTTTTTCTCTGGAACTGGTTCAGGTTCTTTCTTCTCTTCTTTTACTTTCTTCTCTTTCTTTTCTCTCTTCTTCTTTTCTGGTGGAGTTATGTCAAACTTCTCAGAACCATATTTATGTAAAAGTTCTTTGTCCTTTAATAGCTCATCTATTCTGTTTTCTATTTCATCTTCAAGAACAGCGCATGTGTCTTCTTTGCATTCTAAGAACTTTTGTTGGACTTCATCTTTCCAATCGGCGTCATCTCTGTCAACAAGTCTGTCATTGACAAATTTTAAGACTGCTCTTTGTAATGTTTTATGGTTCTTGTCATATTCCCAGAAACAGAACTTTAGAACAAATTCACTTGTTTACACTATGTAAGATTTTATGGTCGACAGATGTTTTGCTGTCGAAAAGCTTGTCTCGAATATAGATAGCGAAATCGCTAGACATTTTCTAAAAGATAAAAATTTTAATTTTTCTAAAAATATGTTAGAAAAAAAGTTTGCTGACATTGACAAGAAATTTGAGAATGTTTTAAACAAGAACAAGAGGAAGTTGGAAAATGCTCAGATAAAACCTATACATGACAAGTTCTTATTTGCTCAGAATGGTATAACAGGTCTAATCGCACCACCTGGGTCGGGTAAGACTTTCACTTATCTTAAAATGGCTGCACAACAACAAGAACTAGATGAGAAGAACCCATTCTATGAGTTAGTAGTCATTTGTAGTACTTCTGGTCAATTTGACCAAACCGTCAATTCGTTCAAAGATATTATAAAGAAGTCTAAGTTAGTATGTATAAAGGATACTGAGTTGTTAGATTGGATAAAGAAGTACCAAAGAAGAGTTTTGAAGTACAATGCTATAAATGAGTATATAAATTCTAAGTTTAAAGACCCAAATGAGGAAATGCAGAGAATATTAGAGAAGAAACACTTCAGAAACAAACAGAAAGAGATAGAATACATTTCGAAGAAATTGCAATCTTACGATTGGAAGACTTACCCTCATAGGTGTCTTCTTATCTTAGACGACTTTGCTTCTCATCCTTTGTTAAAGAACAGAGAACAAGACATGTGTCGAATTCTTAAGAAGCTCAGACACTTTAACATCTCAGTTGTCATTTGTGTACAGACAGCAAAGAGTTTAAGTAAGGATGTAAAGAGAATACTTACTGACATAATACTTTTCCCTGGATTGTCCGAAGACGATTTCATGGAACTTATGAAAGAGTCCATGGCAGGTAAGTTTGACAGACATGAACTATGGGAGAAGTATAAAGTCATACAAGACCCTCATACTTCTTTCAGAATTCATATCTACGCAAACAAAGTTCAAATTGTAAAAAGTCAAGCGTAAAAAATAAAGAGTTTGAGTCTTAGTCTGTTGTGGTGCTGGGGCTGTCGGTTCTTCTGGCTTTGGAAGACATTCAGGAAGAGGAACGTCGGACATTCGTTTGTGTCCTGTCGGATGGAAATTTTTTTCCAGTTGTCGGGAAATTTTTTTCCTGTCTGAAGGAAAAATTTTTTCTGTCGTTCGACCAAAAAGTTCTCAATTTTCGAAAATTTGAATGGTTTACGGACGAACAACAGGAAATTTTTTTCCTGTCTGAAGGAAATTTTTTTCCAGTTGTCGGGAAATTTTTTTCCAGTAGGAAGGAAGGACTCGGAATGCAAGAAGGAAGAACTTGGAATGTCGGAAGGAAGAACTTGGAATGTCGGAAGGAAGAACTTGGAATGTCGGAAGGAAGAACTTGGAATGCCAGAAGGATTTGACAAGACAATTTACCTTATAGAGCTACCTGAGCCATCTGAAGTCAAGCGTAAAAATAAATGGTTCATCTACTCTACTTGTTTGAAGTTGTCAAAATACTCTGTTATTTTTTCCTTCAGTAGCGGCAAGTCTTCTTTGAAGGTAAAAATTGTACAACCTTTCATATCATAGTGTGTTTGAGGTAACGTATCTTGAACTATTTGTTTCACATCTTCATTTGGGGTCATTGAAATCGGTAAGTTTTCGCGATAGAACCAATTTCTGTCAGATTTGTAAATCTTAGCAAGGTCGTAAAAGCTTTTGTTGTTTCTTCTGACTAAATGCAACATAACCATATCTCTGTCTTCTTCATTTTCCATCTCTTCAGTATAAATCATATACTTATAACTCTTTTCCTTTCCTTTTGGTACCGAACGTGGTATTCTTTTCTGAATGCTTTTGTCTTCTTTCATCATATCTTCTCTCTGCTTTGTACAAAGTTCGTCAAGTAGCATAAGTATGTAGATTGCATAACGAGGTGAAGCCCACATTGCTATTGAACTAACTAGGAACTTATGAACATATATACCTTTTAGATGTGATGGTAAGTTTTGCCTGTCTTGGTACATCTTTTTAAGTTCTACATGTTCAAACTCACTGAGGAGTTCATGAGTGCTATTTAATTCAAACCAGTCTTTAGGAAGCTTAGTGTCTGGAGCAAAACAAGCCGTCAAAATACTTTGCATTTGGTACATATCGTCTTTGACCGAACGAATGAGACGGAGTTGTTTGTTAAACTGAACCCACTCATATTCTTCATTTATAGCTTCATGGACTATAACTGTTGTTGTGTTCTCTGTTGTTGACATATCTGTCTTTACATACAAAATAAAAAAATAAATAAAAATAAAACTAACTTTATTTTTTCTATCTTAAGGAAATTCATGAATTTCATAGAGTTTTGGCGACTAAGTTTTTTAACGTACTCGCTGTTCTTCACTGTTTCCGAGGGAAGCAATCTTATGCCATTTTACTCAGAATTTTGTTGCTGAATTCAGCAAAAATAATGTTTAGGTGAAGAGGTGAGATGTCACCCGTTTTCTCACCTCTTTTCTCACCTGTTATTTTATAAGCGTTTTACATGGTAAACGTTATTTTTACATGTATTTTTCAGCAACTTCGTCAAATAATTTTATAGCTTTATCTATCTCATCTACTTCAAACGTTTCTTTACCTTTCGTGGGAGCACCATACATTTTCTCAAACTTTTCAAGTAGTTCTGTTTCAGCAGCTCTCATATCGTTAACAAACACAACCTTGACTATATTGACTGTACTGTCATATCTTAGAGTTATATTATATGTTCTTCCTATCTTATATCTCTTTGTATTGAAGTCCTTCGGTTTCTGAACGATGTAAAGTAAGCCTTCACTGCAACGTTCTGAGTCGAATGAACCATATGTTATGAAGTTATATCCAACAACTGGGTCTAACCATAACAAAACTATTGGTATAAGACTTTTGTCTATAAGATATGCTGTAGTTCCATAGAATCTTACCGATATCATAAGCTCAGGATTTCTTGTCAAAATTTTCTGAGTAGAAGCAATTCTAACCCAGTCCTTTGCTCTCTTTCCGGATGGAGATAAAATGTCTGACAAAGAATATTTTTTGTATTTCTTTGAGTATCTTACGTTTAAATCACCTATTCTAACCAATTTGGTGTCATTGTCTATCTTTTTAACTGTTTCAAACTCAATGTTTGTCATTTCTGTTCTTACATACAAAATAAAAAAAATATTTTATAAAAAACTAACTTTATTTTTTCTGTCTTAAGGAAATTCATGAAATTTCATACGGAATTCAGCAAAAATAATGTTTAGGTGAAGAGGTGAGATGTCACCCGTTTTTTCACCTGTTTTCTCACCTCATGAATTTTCATGATTTCTTCGTATATGTTTTGTCAAGACTTCATCGTACATTCTTTGTCATGATTTCATCGAAACTAAACGTATATGTTTTGTCAAGACTTCATCGTAATGAGCGTAAATCAGACAAAAATAATGTTTAGGTGAAGAGGTGAGATGTCACCTGTTTTTTCACCTGTTTTCTCACCTCAGTTATTTTTTAAATTTTGTGAAAACTCAACGGTTTGACACATGCCCTAAAAATTATTTTACTCAGAATTTTGTTGCTGAATTCAATAAAAATAATGTTTAGGTGAAGAGGTGAGATGTCACCCGTTTTCTCACCTCTTTTCTCACCTGTTATTTTATAAGCGTTTTACATGAATTGTACGATGTATATTTGAAATCCTAAACAGTTTTGTAGCTTCTATTTCTTCTTTTAGTACATCGAATGTTTTAACGATACCGAAAGTTTCTTTATACTTCTTCTTGACGTCAGATAGAAGGAAATCTTCTGCTGTTGGATAGTTTTTGTTCAGAAATGCTAACATATCCATTTTATTTTCTGCTGGTTTTTCTGCTTCTTTCTTTAAGTCTGCATAGTCGTTTCGCATACGTTCTATCTCTTTGACGGAGTAGTTATATTTCCTCATTGCTGCTTTACATTTAGAACATTGCGGGTTCATTTTTGCGTTATATTCTGAAACCTTACCTGCTAAAACAACCAAGGCGTCAATTGCTCTCTTCATCTCAAACATAGCGGGTCTTATCTGTTCATTCCATACCTTACCCCTACTATCTTTATCTCTTATTTCCCATACACATTTTGCAACTAATGAAACAAAGTTGTCGTAGGTCTTAAATTCTTCGGATTTGTAAAGGTCAGAGATGTTCTTATATAACATGTCGCAATCTTTGTCCATAACTTTATGGTTGCAATGAAAACCAAGGAATTCATAATTTACCTTTCGTATGAACTTCTTTATTTCTACTGAGTCAGTTGGTTTCACTTCAATTTCATCGAATTCAGGAATAGTTAGTTTTTGTTGCTGAATTTCAGGCAATTTGGGTAAATGGTCAATAATGTCCTGCATTTCATAAAGATACTGTTCATTTGTTTCATCTTTTGCAGTGCAATCTAAATCTCCTTGGAGAAGTTCTTGCTTTATCTTCTGGATTTCTGTTTCGAAAGTATATGAAGAAGGAATGAAGCTTTTCATTTCTACTAACATTGACGTAGGATTCATGACTAACGAGTTTGGTGAAGTTGTTGCTAACATGTTCTTACAATAAAAATAAAAAAAAATATTTTATAAAAAACTAAAATATATTTTTTATCTTAAGGAAATTCATGAAAATCCAACGGGTGAGAAAACAGGTGAGAAAACGGGTGACATCTCACCTCTTCACCTAAAATATATTTTTGTCGAAAAAAATGGTTCATTTACTCACAATATTTTTGTACAAAACAACCCCAAGCTTTTAACTTCTTTTCTGCAGCTTCAAATGCTATCTTAGCGAGTTCATATTCTCTAAATTCTCTCTTTAAATCTTCTTGTTCCCATTGGTCTAGTTCGTATGGCGAGTCTCTATAACCAGAACATATCTCACGTTCATGTTCTATTTGTTTTTCATGCATTTTTCTAACTTCTTCTTCGAACAAAGGTTTTGCATTCTCTACTGTATCTTCAAGTTCTTCTTCATCTAATTTCTCATGAACTTTCTTGTCTATGGAGTCCATAATTTTTCCAACTGCTATGCAATATTTTGGAGAAGCCCACATTGCTATATAGTTTACAAGTCTTGGGTCTACATACATTCCTCTAACCTGTTTGATTTCATCAGGAATTCCTGCATGAATTTTGTATAAAAAGCAACCCGCTGTTTTCCGCGGGTTGGTATATTCTTCACAAAATGCCTCAAAATACTCTTCCCAGGACTTATTTTCCAACAACCTTCTAAAGTCCTTCCTAAACTGCTGACACATATTTGTTGCATTTATATAACCATCCTTGTCTCTACGTAAGACTTCAATACCGTTGTAAGTGCCTTTTGTGAATGTTTCGCCATTAGATTTGTTCGTGAACGTTTTTGCTTCGACTGACATTTCTGTTCTTACAATAAAAATAAAAAATATTTTTTTGGTGGGACGTCGGACATTCGTTTGTGGCTTAACCGTCGGACCACAACGATAAAAATCTCGACAAAAATATACGATGAAGTCTCAACAAAACATTTACGATGAAGTCTTAACAAAAAATATACGATGAAATCTATTTCCTGTGTTGTTGTCAAAATGTCATGTTGTCACACTTTTTCAAAAAGATGTTAGTTGACCGAGTGACCGAGTGACCGAGTGACCTGGTCGCCTAAAATATATTTTTTTCTATCTTAAGGAAATTCATGAAAATTCACCTGTTGAATTTTGTATAAAAAGCAACCCGCTGTTTTCCGCGGGTTGGTATATTCTTCACAAAATGCTTGTTTTGAGGTCGAGCCACTTTTGGCTCCACCTCTTTTTTCAACCAAAAACTCATTTTTGTCGAATTCAGCACAAAATTCATGAAAATTCAACGGGTGAGAAAACAGGTGAGAAAAGAGGTGAGAAAACGGGTGAGATGTCACCTCTTCACCTAAATTATATTTTTGGGTCATTTACGCTCATTACGATGAAGAAGTTTCGACAAAACATTTACGAAGAAGTCTTGACAAAACATTTACGATGAAATTCATGAAAATTCATGAGGTGAGAAAAGAGGTGAGAAAACGGGTGAGATGTCACCTCTTCACCTAAACATTATTTCAATACTTTTCAGCACTTTTCCGTAGTTATATATGAAAGACAATTCGAGATAAAAGTCATAGTACAATGGAATAATATGTTGCACACCATTTGTTGTGAACCAAACTTGAAAGTCAGAGAAACTGTTACTAGGTGGTTCGTAGAATTTAGAAGCAAAGTCATAAAAGTCCTTACCAATACATAGAAAACTATTGTTGCTTGAACTGAAACTTGCATGACACATGACATTTTGAGGGTCAAACACGTTTCTATAAACTGTCAAATCTGCTGGTGGACGTATAAATTTAAACGGACCGTCAGGTGGTAATGGTTCGTTCTGGTTTAGTAACCGAAGAAATTGTGCCCAAGAACGTTTGTCTACTTCCCAAAATAAAAACTGTGTACTTCTTGGAGGGTTAATTTCAATCCTTTGAAATGAAACGGTGGAATTCATCTTGTTGTATTCTAGTTTTAGATAGTATGTTCCATTTAGTAAAGAGTCGTATTTTTCTTGAAATTCCCAGTAGTATTTGTTTATTTGAGTTTGAAAGTCATTTAGAGTTTTCTCAAGACTTTCGTCTGAACGAACTGTAAAGATTCTCATTTCGTCAAATTTGTCTATTAGACCATCAGAACCTTCATACTGCCCATGAAAATATACTGCGAACATAAAAGCGTTAGTTTTTCTTTTTGAAAACAAAACTCTTCTAAATCCTATTGCCTTTGCATCTGAAGGACTTTGAAGCCAACGAATTGGATAGTCAAACCTGTATGCTCGGGATGAAATTTCTTCATCTGATATAGTCCTACCGGCGTTTGTAAAGATATAGTCTAACGGTTTTGTATCTACTACTTTTGTTCTTTGTTTTTCAACCTGAAACATTTAATATATGTAAAAATATACTGTTTTAAAAAATGTTTTAAAATGGTATGCCATTTCATATTTCTCATCTAACAAACATGTTGTCTGACTGCTTGAGGGTTAGGTTGGTACCATTCGAACTTGACACTTGCAATTCCTTCAATTGCATTCAAAATGTCTGAGTCGGAGTCAACCATTTGTTCTCTCTTTGTAGTCTTGAAAGCGTCAAGAAGCATTGCAGCTGTTGTGACATTGCCATGCGCATAGTATATATGACCGTCCAAATCTGTTATGGTCAATCTGAGATTGTATCCTTTCTTATTTCCGTCTTGTATGGCAGCAAGTACTCCCATGAAGCCTTCTTTGTTCTTTCCTTCGTCAAAGTTTACTGTAAAGGTTCGACCAGAATGTAATTTGACTTCTAACTTCACGATACTTTTCATATGCATATCTTGTTCTTTCCATGGGAGCATGTGCGTCTTCACCTTTTCCTTTTTTCCTTCTCAAAGGATGCAATTGTTCGTCATGTTTCCAGTAGAATCTGGCAAAGCCGTCGTGTCCTTCAACTTGAGGTTCACTAACATCGAAAGGCATGTCCATAAGACGTTCTTCTTCTAACCTCTCTAGTCTGTTTGGATAATTTGCACGTGCTGTTTCCAAATCCATTTCGTAGCGAAGACCAGACAATTTGTCATAGACTTTTATGGGTCTTCCCTTCCTATATTTAAACTTCTTTGAAACTCTCCAACCATATCTTTCTAACTCTGCTTTTATTCTAGCAGACCTTCTATCCATTCTATACGGGGGCATTTTTATAAAAATAAAAAAATGTTTTTTCTTTACTTTACATAACCGCCTGCTGCCATAAGTCTTTGACGCCAACCCATACCAGCTAATGAAGGTTGACTTGGTTTAGTTTGGAAACTAAACTTTGGTTTTGGTTTATCTTCAGTTTGTGGCTTCCCTTCTTCTATTGGTTTTTCGTCACTTTTCGGTTCCTCTGACTTTACCTCACTTGCAGGTATGGTTGTGTCGTCAACATCTTCGTAAATATCATATGCCATTTGTTTTTGTTTTCCTTTCAACTTTTTGTGTTTGTTGTAAAGTTTAGAATATTTCGACTCTAAGTCAATGAGATGTTCTATAATGAACTGTTGGTCAGTGAAGTAAACTTTTCCATCTGTTGTCTCGAAAGCTCCTTCAGACTTCAATATTTTATTTGTGAGAGTCTGTTTCTTTTTTGAGATACTAGCCGTTCCATTTCTATGAAAAGTGACTTTATAGTTAGGGTTTGTATTTCCAGACCTGGCACTTTCTATTATTGAATTTTTCTCTTCATCTGTAAGTTCTTTGACAGGTTTTGACAATGGTTCTGAACTTTTTGTTTGTGGTGTCAAATCTACCGTTTCAACTTCTTCGGTCATTTCATCTCAGTAAAAATTTTAGTTTGTTTTGTTTTCAACTGGTTGTTTAGGTTTTTTAAGTCGGTCTAAAACTTCCTGAGGTATAGGAAGAACTTGACAAACACGTGGTTGTGTAACTGCTGGAAGCCGACAAATCCATCTTGAACCCATTTGTCTCAATGCTGTATTGTTCATTTCATCTCAGTAAAAAACTTTACATTCCCCACGTTTGAGGCGGTTGAGGTTGGTTATTGTTTACCCATTGTTGTGCATGGTTATATCCTCTGTTAAAGAATCTTTCACCTTGGTCCATATAGTGTCCTGCTTGGTTATAGTAGTCATTTGCTTTGTTATAATAGTTTCCTGCTTGTCTTCCTACATTGTCCATCCATCCTTGAACTTTTCCTCTTGTTTCAGGATTTGGAATAAGATTTGCTGCATCTCGTGCTACATCCCAACCTTTCTGTACAGTTTGTATAATAGGTTGTGCTTTCTCTTTAAGTATACCTAATGTACTCAAAATCTTCCTTCCAACTCCAAATACACCTCTGGCTATTGTTCCCACTGCGGGCAAAAATCTGGATGCAACTCCTGCTAATGCGCCAAATAAACCCATTTCTTATAGGGTAAAAATGACGAATCCAAACAAGGACCCCTATGTTTCTAAGGCAACAAAGAAAGCACTCATGATAAAAATCTTTAGTTCAACACCAAATGCTTGGTTTATGGATATCTTGGAAAACATTCCGAGGTATAGAGAAGATGGACCACCATACTGGCTAATATTTGTCGGTCAAAACACAAGATACTGTGAAGCCATACCATTACAGTCCAAAAATATTTTAGATGTGAAAACTGCTTTGACAATATTCGTTG